CAAACACATGTTGAAATAAAGCCTCCACTTGGCCAGGACGGCAGGTGGAACAGTCCCCTGAAAGGGAGTTTAAAATATCCATCTCCTCCACCTTCTCTAGTGCTATAAAAAGATCTTCGTCCAGAACACACCCTTGCTCTAATTCCACCTTCCTTCCTTGTCATCTGAGACTTGCCACACTCCATAATCATTGGATGATACATAGCTTTGCAGTAATGAAGCACTGCTAAGAGACCAACAAAATTTCAGAAGCATCTATAACAAGGAGGCGAAGTTCAGCCTGCAGTATAGGATTGCCTTCATTCAATTATTAGCAGGCAGACTTTGTGAATCCTCTCTTACAGCTTCACATGGCTAAGAGTGTCCGGAGGCACAGACAGTTAATTCCTGCATAGTATCCGTGGCACCTGCTTAGCCTGGACACAAGTGCACAGCATTGAGCTGATCTGGTCATGTTGTACCAAATCCAAACAGGCTGAGAAGCTCTGCCGCTTGGCTAGCTCACAGCCAGGATGATGCTTAGGTACACAAACGTCTTTTTTCCAGTGCACCTCAGGAAGGTTTGGTGAAAGCGCTGTTTAAAACACAACTATCCAGCTTGGCACTAAAACAGAGAAAGATGTCTGAGCAATATCCAAGAACTGAGGTGCAGTGAAACAAGGGCCAGGATTGCTCCCATGCTATCTCTATGCTGTTGTAGAGATCCACACTATCTGCATGCCAGGCTACGTAGGTCTTTGCCTTACTTTCTAGTTCTCCCTTCCTGAATGACATTTCTGAACTTCACTTTCAGTACTTGACATTAAATTACATTACAATCACATCATAGACACACATACTAAAACCTACATCCAGGGGGTTACCTGGGTGGTCACTTTCCCAGAAATATTTTTATTAAGAAGTAGAAATGAAAAAAGTGAGGCAAATTTATGAGAGTAATCAGTAGAACTTACACTTCAAATCGTTATCGGGAATCAGCTGAAGTAAATGTATGCAATTTGATCCCAAGAAAGACTCCCATTTATTTCAGGAAGGATGTTTTGAAATTGAAGAATGCCAGCCCAAGTTTATGGGGTCAGATCGAGAAAATTCTGTGGGATGTTGATTTTTTTTTTTTTTTGTTCCTGCGTTTAACAGCGCTTACACTACTGAAGTATTTGTTCCTGTATCTGGTAAGTGGTAATGTAGTGCTGCTGTTTCAACCTCACCAATTAACTAGAAACCCATGACAGTACTGGCTGCTTTGGAGCAGACAATTAATTGGTGATTTGGGTGATTCTGCTGCAGTTTCTCTACAAAGACTGTACAAAAGCCTGTGGCCTTGAGCACAGCAG